TCTGCTAGCTTCTCTCACCCTCTCTGGCGACCTTTCTCCCTCTCTCTTGGATGTACCTTTTGACGCCCTCCCATGAATGTTGACGAGCGCGAAGACCCTGCGATGGACGTCGAGATCCCGCGTACCATGGACGCCCAATCGACCTCTACCAGTGAATCTCTTGCCGTGGACTGTCTCATGACCGACGAAGAGATCGACGCCTTTGCATTGGAACTCGACGCAATGTTGCTGGCCGACGTCGACGAGTCCTCATCTTCGGACCCCGACGTCGCGATGTCACTCGACGACCAAGACGCGGCCATGGCTCTCCTCTCCCTTGCAACTACCACCCCTCCATTCCTATCCATGTCCCTACCTCCGAGGAGCTCGACGCCGTGTTCCAGCAAGCTCTGACCAAGTGCGCCGCGGCTGGGGTCTCTCCTCACGACGTCAAGGTCGAGCTTTCTGATGAAGACTACGAGCTGTTTGAACGCGCCTGCGCGCCTGTTGACCTCACTTTGGATTTCCCGCTCACCGGTCTGTTTGCCCTCGCCTCCGCCGCGGCCACCGTCTCCCCAATGGACGTCAAGTCCGATTCCACCGCCGAGGTCTTCGGCGACGACGACGCGGCCCAGCTGCTCCTCGCACTCGGCGCGACCGTCCCTCCTCCCTCAGACTTCTTCGCACCTCCTGCCGCGGCGTCCAGCGCGGACGTTGGGGCGTCTTCGGAGGCTGCTGTCGCTGAACCGCATATGCGGATCGCGACGCGGCCGATGAAGGCGCTCCCGCGTTCTCGGGCGCTGCGCAGGAGTGCCCGTCTGGCGGAGAAGCAGGCCTCTGGCAGTGCCAAGTCGTTGTAGTCTGTTCTCGGTTTTCGTCGGACTCGGCTCGTATGTCGTTGTACTCCCATTTTGTGTTGTTCCTGGATTGGCATTTGCATCTAGACTTGTAACATCTCGTGTGTGTGTTTCTATGATTTCTCGGGTTTTTTGGTGGTCGTTGTCTTGGGATCATGTCGTGGACGCTAGGCTTTGAGTATCTACATGTACTGTTGGGTTGTGGATTCTCCCCTCTGTATCAGATCATTTGGTCATGAATTTACGTGTGAACTTGGAGCGAGTGACGAATCAGCCAAGGGCAACCCAAGGACAATCTATGTAGGGGAAACATCTACTCTCGTCGCTGTTTCGATATTCGACTGCGCTAGCAATGAGGGCTGAAGATTCCAGCGCCCTCCTCAAAGCCTCAGGTTTTTCTCATTTACTGCTTGTTTCAGTCTAGTCCACGCCATACGCGCTTGAGGGAATGTCATCAATCCCTGCGGCAAGTCGTGTGATCGGAGGCACTCCAGATTGTCGCCAAAGGCAGCTCTGCGTTCGTCTAGAGGGAAAAGTGTAGATACTTTTATAGTCTACGTGCTAAGCTGCCAATAAGCATTACGACGATAGCTACACGAGGACACGACGCCCATCGCACGTGGTGCAGCACCGCTCTAGTAGAGCAGCGAGGACATATCGGCGCGAATGCGGTTATAGTCGAGGAGACCCTCAACGGGGCCGACCGCGGCGAGCGCGAACTAGACAAGGGAGGTGAGCTATGGAAAAGACGAGAGCGAGAAGGAAGCACGTACGTCCTTGTCCCAGAGGTACTTGTTGGCCACCCGCTTGATGTCATCGACGGTGACAGAGTCTACAAGGAACTCGGTCTGCTTGGGGGTCATGCGGCGGCCGCTGGTGACGAGCTGGCGACCGATGTCCTCGGCAATAGCGGTGGAGCCGTCGAGGGTGAGGAGAAGGCTCGCCTTGAGCTGGCTCTTGGCGCGCTCGACCTCGACCTCGGTGGGCGCCATTGACATGCGCGTCCACTCGCGGAGGGTGAAGTGGAGGAGGTCGTCCATGTTCATCAAGTTCTCGGTGACGAGGTAGATGCCCCAGAGGCCGGTGTCCGAGTACGAGGTCGAGAAGGACATGAAGCTGTTCGCGAGGTTGTTGGACGAGATGATGTGCGAGAGGCGTGACGACATGAGGCCCGCGGCGCCGAGCGAGCGGTCCCAGTTACCGAAGATGCTCTGCATGACGAGCATGGGGTAGTAGTCGGGCGAGCTCCAGCCAACACCCTCAACGGCGACACCGATGTGCGCTGTGGGCTGGGTGTCGTCTCGGACGCGAACCTCGGAGCCGACGAAGCGCGTCTTGGGGTGCGCGAGGCGACCGAGGGGGATGGGGTTGGGGGAGACGGGGAGGGAGGAGAAAGCAGACTCGGCGTACTTGACGAGCGCATCGTGGTCGACACCGCCGGCACCGACAAGGACCATGCGGTCAGCAGTGTAGTTGGTCTTGATGTAGGACGCGAGGTCGTCGCGCTTGATGGAGAGAATATTCGCCTTAGGTCCGAGGATGGTACGGCCAAGAGGCTGACCTGAAGGGAGTTAGACGGAGCGCCAGGTGACGTTGCGGACATGACCCACTTTGGAACGCAATGGAGTGCAGGTGGTCGAGAACAACCTCCTCCATCTGCTTGTCGACCTCCTGCTGTTCCCGCAGGATGACGTCCCGCTCCCGCTCGACAGCGCCCTCCTCGAGGGTCGAGTTCTGGAGGATGTCGCTGATGATGTCAACGCTCTTCTGGACGTCCTTCGAGAAGCACTTGGCGTAGTACACAGTCTGCTCGCGCGACGTGTACGCGTTCAGGTGTGCTCCGAGGCCCTCCACGGTGAGTTCAAGGTCGCGTTGTGAGCGACGCTTGGTGCCCTTAAACGCCATGTGTTCAAGGAAGTGAGCGGTACCGTTCGTTGCATCCGTCTCCGCCCTCGACCCCGCGTCAATCCACACGCCCACCGTCGCCGTCTGCACATGAGGATGGTTCTCCGTCGCTACAGTGAGACCATTCGAGAGTGTCGTCGTCTGGAGCTGGGGGTAGTTGACTGCAGTCGCGAACGATCGCAATGGGCGGCGCTGAGGTGTACGGTGTCAGAGAGCGGGTTCGCGCGTAAACGAAACGAAACGTACGGGAGAGCGCGCTGCGCTGCGAAGCGCACGCCCAAGTGAGGCCGAGAGCGTGCTTGTCACCATCGAGGTCGTAGAGGAGGAAGTGTGCGTCGACGCCGGAAAGGCCCACCGGGCGAATACGGCGAGCAGGCGGACTTTGACAGAAAATATCTCCGCCAGATTTCCTCCGCCAATCTTTAATCGGCGCTCGAAACCTCGTAATCTTCTGAGCATGATTGGCACCCGGAACGCACTCGGCGGCTCACAGCAGACCCGGAACGCGCGATCGCACTCTCGTCTTCGTCTCCGATGTCTTTTCCGCACGACTTGCACGTCAACTACAAGATTTTAAAGCCAAAACAGTTTTCTTGCACTTGCGGGACGAGGGTGCCGTCGGACTCGGAGCGCCGATTCCCGAAGTATTGGAGCGGGAGCTTGAGTGACGTCCGGGTGGGTGCGGAGACCACCACGGGTTTATATGCTGGAGTCATCGTGCGCAAGGTTTCTCCCGTCTTATGAGCCTTATCATGGCGGTTCGCAGCCATACAGACTCGCTCTGGCGGTCTCTTGGACTTCTGCCCGAGGCATTGGCCCACCTCCATCTCAGCGAGAGACCAGATCCCGCAGTCAACTCCTCATTCAAGCTTGGCACTGTCGCACAGGTATACCGAGCTCATCTGAAGCTTCTCCGAGTGACCTGATCCTTAGCACTTCCACAGAGCTCGATCGGCTTGTCGGCTTTGGCAGCGGCGCATTTCCATCAACTGAGAACAGGAGCATTGCAGACAGTCCATGTAGATGCTCGTCATGCCGTCATCGAATTTAGTGAGTAGAGTCTCTCCTCCGCCCAGATCACCACTAACCTTGTTTACCCGTAGAGAGTGAAGCGTATTATGCCCTACAAGGTCGGTCGAATAATGACAACGCCTTATTCGAGCCTCTCGCAGGTTTGTACGCCACAAACAACGACGGCCATGTTAGAATCCACACCAACTTCCCGCAGTATGCACCTCCTCCGAATCCTCCGCACCAGTTTCTCATGTGTTGTAGTCACAAACAGGGAATCCTGAACATCCTTGGGTGTGAACCTTCAAGGGAGTCGGTCGCAAAAGCACTTCTGCAGTGGGACGCCGTCGAATTCGAGACAGAAGCTTCGTCACAGAAAGCGGTGGCCACAGCCCTACGGTCCTTTGCGGAGTGGGACACGCATCCTCAGGCCAAAGTACTCATCGATACCCCGCCTGTTGTGCTCATTAGAGTTGGAGACGCACCAAAGCGAGAAGCAAAGGCGGATGCAGCTCGTCCTCTCCAAGGTATTCGAGTACTGGACCTAACACGGGTACTCGCCGGTCCTGTATGCGGACGAACACTTGCTGGTCAGTTCCATGCGCCTCTTATTTCTCGTTATGTCCACTCAAGATCTTGTAGCGCACGGTGCAGACGTCCTTTGGATCACATCCCCCAGTCTACCAGCACTCCCTCTTCTCGACATCGATACCTCCCGTGGCAAACGCACTACTCAGCTTGACCTCAATGCCACCAAGGATCGGGAACAGCTGTCATATCTCATTCGCGACAGCGATGTTTTCCTGCAGGCTTACCGCCCGGCTGGTTTAGCAAACAAGGGGTTCGGCGTCGAAGATGTCGCACGAGCACGACCTGGTATTGTATATGCCAGTTTGACCGCGTATGGCTGGGATGGTCCTTGGAAGGAACGCCGCGGCGTACGTACTCCGTTCCGCAGTTTCCGTGTCATGGAAACGCTGAAAAGTCTTCTACAGTTTGACTCACTCGTTCAAACGGCTACCGGATTCAACGTGGCCGAAGCAGAGGGATACGCGGCCTTCACCGGAGCGGAGTTTGAGCCTCCGAGGCCGCTCCCTATGCAAGCACTGGATCACGCTGCCGGCTATTTGCTAGCGTTTGGTATTCAGGCGGCGTTATGCAAGACCATCACAGTAAGCTTTCGGCCATCTTGCCTTGAAGGTCTTTCTTCCTGACCGTAACTCGCTCCTCTATAGGAAGGTGGTTCATGGGAAGTCAGAGTCTCCCTTGCGGCCGTGGCGCAATGGGTGAGGTCCTTAGGTCGCGTTGATCCCCAGATTGCATTCGGGGAAGGAAGGCCTCTTCCACCTCGCTCCATGGAAGATGAAGAGCTTTCGCGGATGGTGGTAGAGGTCCCTGTAATTTCTGCGCAATGCGAACCTCAGAAAGCCATGAAGGCGATTCGGCACTCAGCGGTGTTGTCTGCTACTCCGGTTCAGGAAGGAGAGGCTCCCATGCGTCTTGATTCTCATCCACCCCAATGGCTACCCCGAGTGTAATCTGTGCGTGACTAGAGCAGACGTAGCACACGATGTACAACGTACCTAGTTTCCGTTGAATCAGACCACTCATTGTGTTGCTCGCGACATGACACGTCGGGTGCCATTTCGAGAGCGGCCGCGAAAGAGGCGCGCGAAACCCGCACTCGTGATTCCGCTTGCGTCGGGTCCGACTCGGACTGGGTCGCTCCATCACGAAAAAGGGGCAGTTTTCAGCAGGGATTGCCACGGGTAGAGATCTGTACATAATCCGAAGGAAGGTACTTGTAACAAATGGAATGGGTGCAATATTACAGCGCTTGATAGTGCCACTATCATGCACGCTTGAAGCTTGAAATCACATGCCAATACTCTCCCAATGTACCCAAGTATTGTGCACCTTGCACGCTATCAGAGATGGTGCAAACTTATAATCCATCCTGTCTTACAGCAACATTGTGTACATGGTCAGTAGCCCAATGAGTGCGTAGATTGGTGGAGATTTGGGAGGGGTTGGTAGTGCATAGGTAGAGTCCCCAGCGTGGGATAATGAATGAAAACCCAATATTTACGGACTCTCATAACGAAGCACAACGAGAGTGGCATGCATTAGAGTCGAGGCTAAGGTACATCTGCCGACCCCGACCAGCAAGCAGCCACAGATCCTGCGACCCACATGGGCCCCACGCGTTACGCAGACGCACACTTCCGTGCCTTGCCCTGAGCAACCATGCGTGACGCCATTGAGGGACGGCGATCACCCTCAGGGCTGCTGGTGTTGTTCTCGTCGTCATCCCATTGCTCTCCAAGACACTCCCTAGCGTGCAATATTAGTGCAATCCACACAGATGACGAGAGCAACAACGTACTTTGTCCGTGACAAAGCCAACAAATGGTCGGGCCGCTCATCGTCCAACATTGAAGTCTTGATCTGTCGAACAATGGTGTGGTAGAATAGTTTGTAATGTAAAGAGCGGGGAGAGGAACCATCGGGTTAGGGGGAGACGAGGTGGGTGACGTAGAGGCGGCGAGGCAGGTAAAGGTGAGATGGGTCAGGCAGGCAAGGCAGCGAGGTGGGCGAGGTGGGTGACGCAGATGACGCAGGCGGGCGATGTGGTGACGCGGGGGCAATACGGACGGCGCGTGGGCGAGACGTGGGCGAGGTGGGCACGACGCGGGCAATCGCACCATGGGCAGAGGCGGCAGGCAGGCGATGTGCGACACAGCGGCAGCAACATCGCAACATGACCGTGCCAGTGAAACGACCGTTCCGTGCACGTCCTTTGGGACATGCTCGTTGTGGGGATGGGGTTGGTGGTGTGGCCGAGACCTTGGGAGGCGGTAGGCAAGACGCAGAGCACAGGAGGACAAAGCGGAGAACTCACCCGGATTCTAATCTCCCCACCGATGACGTCTGACCACGACTAGGGGTTCGTCCCAGACACACTTTTAAACCTCCCATGGCCGTTGTGGGATATAGCGAGGGGGAGGGGGAGAAGAAACGCACTTATCACCGCTGGCGAGTTTGGTTCTCGAAAGAGGAGACGGTGCGGGCACGGGCGATATCGAGAAAACTGCGCACCTGAGTGAACCTCTCCTTCTCCTGACTTGATCCGACAGTCGTGTTCAAGCTCCGGGGGAGGTGTATGAGGGTGAGGACAGCGAGAGCGAGGAGAGCAGCGATAGGTTGGTCGTTCTGCACGTCGTAGACGCCATGGTTGAGCGGGAGCCGAACGCATCCCTCGAGCGTGTGCAGCACCGCGAGCACGTCCAGCGCGAGCGTCCGTCGTACAAGCATGAGCAGGTCGGGGGGTCGTTTGGCTGCGATGCCTGTCGCTTCGGGGCTGGTGCGCTCGACGTCTGTGGGCGGTAGCTCGCGCGCGTCGTTTGAGATGACGCGAGTGAGACGGGCGAGACATGAACGGCACGGACGGGGCGAGACATGGGCTGACACAGGCAATGCGGAGGCGAGACGAGGGGCCCTTGAGGGTATTGATGGGCTGACGGTTCGATGGGGCATAGCGATGTGGAGAGTGCGGGTGCGGGTGTGGGGGAGTTAGTGCAGAGCGAGGCCAGCAGCACGGGCAAGGTCGAGAGGGCCGGGCACGGGCGAGGGCGAGGACGAGGGCGAAGGCGAAGGTGAGGCCTTGAGGATGAGGCCATGAGGGTGAGAGTGAAGGTGGCGGCGTGGGCGAGGTCGTGGTCAGTGGTGCAGGCGAGGATGCAGATGAGGGCAAGTGGCGGCTCGCCTTCTAGCTCCCTGTGGCAGCCTGCCCCGACCCGTCCGAACTTGTGGCCCGCAACGCACTTTTTCGACCAGTCGCGGCGTGCTCCGCGCTACTCCCGCACCGGCCGTACAGGTTGCAGCTTGGCTCGGCGAAGATCAGCGTATTCGCCATTCGGGGGCTTAGGTCCGCTGTTTAGAACTACGCACGGAGTGGCAAGCTAGCAGGGCAATGTTTTAGACGTCGCACAGGGTATGGGAATGAGCTCGTCCGTGCCACGCCGTCCCTAGGCGACGAGCCAGGAGAAAAGGAATTGGCGGGGAGGGCAGCGCGAGTAGTTGTGGAAGAGACTCACCCCAAAGTGCTCTCTTCAAGCAGCGGCGCACGCGCGTTCTCGAGCTCCGACTCGAGCTCCTGGAAGGACAGTGATCCAAGAACTTAGAGTAGCATTTCTGATAAACGAGAGGTCCGCAAAAAGTGACAGAGCAGCGAGGAGTGTGGAAGGTAAGGGTGGAGGAGGATGTAGTCAACGTCCGCGATGCATCCTCGTAAGCTGCCAGCCGACGCGTCGCGACGTGTCGAGCGACGGCGCCGGTCATAGACGCCGATAACTACACTTGTATAATGGGTGCGTGGTAGGTCCGCAATGATAGCAGACACATGCTCAATACGTCACAATGTCGGGTAAGCTCATTCAAAACCTCGGTATTCTCTTCTAGCACACAGAAGGCTCGGCCTAGCGTTGCTATCTCCACCCTATATCTATCGGATCTTACAAGTAACTTACAGGGACAGCATCACATTATCGAGATATGTCAATGTACATGCAAGGGTACGCCGAACTGATACAATAATCGCCCCGAGCCGTACGATTGGGGGCTGTTACAATGGATTATAATGCCATCAGGAAGGGATTACGTCACTTCCTAGATAGGGAAGTATCGGGCGTCTTACCACTTCGCCCCCGTTTTCGTGATGTCAAAGACGGCGGCGGCACACGTCGCCATTCGTTTGCCCGACCCACCACCATGAGACCTTCCCCAGTCCGTCTGCTCAATATCCTCGTCCCCATCAAGCGGTACGTCTGTCCAAGCCTCGTCCCGCGCGCGTTCTCCTCATCCATACGACCTCCAGGACCGTAGACTATGCCGTCAAGATTCGCGTGAACCCGGACCAGAAGGGCATTGACCTCAACGTCAAGCACTCAATGGTGCGTCCTCCTCAGCCCCGTCGTGCGCGCCCCTATTGAGCCCCCGCCGTCCCGCAGAACCCCTTCGACGAAATCGGTGCGTCCGTCCGCCTCCCGCACCCCCGCACGCGTCCCTGAACGCGCCCCGCAGCCGTCGAGGAGGCCGTCCGGCTACGGGAGAAGCTCAAGGACGAGGTCAAGTCGATCAAGGTCGTCACCATCGGCCCGCCCAAGGCCGCGGACGTCCTCCGCACCGCGCTCGCCATGGGCGCCGACGCCGGCATCCACGTCGAGGTCCCCGAGGCCGCGCCCGCCCCGGAGCCCCTCGGGGTCGCGAAGGCGCTCCGCGCGCTCATCGCGCGCGAGAAGGACGGCGTCGACCTGGTGATCATGGGCAAGCAGGCGATCGACGACGACGCGGGGCAGACGGGGCAGATGCTCGCGGGGCTGCTCGGCTGGTCGCAGGCGACGTTCGCGAGCAAACTCGTCGTCGACCCGAAGGCGAAGGTGGCGGAGGTGACGAGGGAGATTGACGGGGGCTTGGAGGAGCTGAAGTGCCAGCTGCCGTTGATTGTGACCACGGACCTCCGGTGAGTGTCCGTATGGTCTCGTGCGCACTTTCATCCCCGTTCTCACTGCATACATGCATTCGGGTGTCCTTCACAAGGTTGAACGGTGAGTGTAACATGATATCTGTCCAAAATGACGCGTCTCACGTTCCTTGGCAGAACCTCGTTACGCGTCACTACCCAACATTATGAAGGCGAAGAAGAAGCCCATCGAGAAGTTGACTCCTGCTGACTTGTCAGTCGACCTGACTCCCATACTGGAGACTATCAAGGTCGCAGAGCCCCCAAAACGTATTGGTGGGGCAAAGGTATGCTCTCATTTACTTCAACGCTCTTACATTCTAACTGGGTGTGCAAGGTTGGGAGTGTGGACGAGCTCATAGCGAAGCTCAAGGAGGCTGGCATTACTGCTGTGAAGGCGTAGCGTATCCTGCATGTGTTTATTGCCTCACACATGACTTGGACGGAACACAATGCATATTTTGAAAGGAAAGTTGAGTGTCTTTGATCGCGCAGGCATTTGGGATGGTTGATGTGCACAAATGGCACTGGAGTACTATTGGAATATCGGAGCTGCCAACGGAGTCTTTCGGTCGGGGCCCAAGCACACGAGGAGCTCGATGATAGAAATTCTGGTGTATTAAAAGGGGCTCTACAAATACCAGGCGTAGACAAAACCAAGCTCCATCTATGGGGACATGAGGTCCGGCGAGAACCCAAGACTAAGACAAAATCCAGAGACAACGACCACCGAAAAACCCGAGAAATCATAGAAACACACACACGAGATGTTACAAGTCTAGATGCAAATGCCAATCCAGGAACAACACAAAATGGGAGTACAACGACATACGAGCCGAGTCCGACGAAAACCGAGAACAGACTACAACGACTTGGCACTGCCAGAGGCCTGCTTCTCCGCCAGACGGGCACTCCTGCGCAGCGCCCGAGAACGCGGGAGCGCCTTCATCGGCCGCGTCGCGATCCGCATATGCGGTTCAGCGACAGCAGCCTCCGAAGACGCCCCAACGTCCGCGCTGGACGCCGCGGCAGGAGGTGCGAAGAAGTCTGAGGGAGGAGGGACGGTCGCGCCGAGTGCGAGGAGCAGCTGGGCCGCGTCGTCGTCGCCGAAGACCTCGGCGGTGGAATCGGACTTGACGTCCATTGGGGAGACGGTGGCCGCGGCGGAGGCGAGGGCAAACAGACCGGTGAGCGGGAAATCCAAAGTGAGGTCAACAGGCGCGCAGGCGCGTTCAAACAGCTCGTAGTCTTCATCAGAAAGCTCGACCTTGACGTCGTGAGGAGAGACCCCAGCCGCGGCGCACTTGGTCAGAGCTTGCTGGAACACGGCGTCGAGCTCCTCGGAGGTAGGGACATGGATAGGAATGGGAGGGGTGGTAGTTGCAAGGGAGAGGAGAGCCATGGCCGCGTCTTGGTCGTCGAGTGACATCGCGACGTCGGGGTCCGAAGATGAGGACTCGTCGACGTCGGCCAGCAACATTGCGTCGAGTTCCAATGCAAAGGCGTCGATCTCTTCGTCGGTCATGAGACAGTCCACGGCAAGAGATTCACTGGTAGAGGTCGATTGGGCGTCCATGGTACGCGGGATCTCGACGTCCATCGCAGGGTCTTCGCGCTCGTCAACATTCATGGGAGGGGCGTCAAAAGGTACATCCAAGAGAGAGGGAGAAAGGTCGCCAGAGAGGGTGAGAGAAGCTAGCAGAATGGTCATGTCGACGTCTTCACTGTCGGCAGGTTCGATCTTGATGACCAGAGGGGTGGCTTCAGCGAGTTGTTCAGTGAGCTGGAAGAAAGCGTCGACATCGTCAGTGAGGCATGCTTCAGCGAGAGAGCCAGTGGCAAGGCTGTCGAAGGAGCAGGGCGCGCTGAGAGCAAGCGAGTCCATAGCTTCCAGGAGCTCCGCGACGTCGTTGTCGTTGGGGCAGCAAGGATCGGACGCCGCGGCCGCCTCGACGAGCTTGAGGAGTCCGCCATAGATGTCGCTCTCGTCGAGAGTGTCCTCTTCGTCGCTGAGGGGGTCTTCACGGATCTCCACCTCGAACTCGTCCGCAGAGGAGTCGGCCGGCGTAAGGAGCGCTTCATCGACAGTCGACTCGGTGTCATCCTCGTCGTCTCCAGAGAACGACTCTTCCGCAGCGTCTTCGGCGTCGGCCGTGATCGCGAGGACGGTGTTGACAGCCTTCGGGCTTGCCACGACCACGACGGTGATGTCGGCGGCGATGACTGGGAAAAGGACATATATCGGCGACGAGTCCAGGGTCCAAGAACGCACGGCTGCTCACCTTCGCGAGGAGCGCGCAGGGCGATGGCGTCGTCGCCGGCGTCGACGGGACCAGCGATCGCGTCTGCGACGAGCGCAACCGCGACGAAGGTCCCATGCGCCGCCGTCGCGACGCCAAAGAGCGCGCACACCCCGAAGACCGCCGCATACATCGCCGCCGTCTTCGCGACTTGGGCCAACACGTATACAGCGATGAGAGCGGAGGAGAGGGCCTCGATGGCGGCCACCTTGGACGCGTCGAGCGCGCGAGGCAAGAAGGAAAAGGCGGCGAGATCAGCAAACGGGGGAACGGAAATGGACAACTCAACAGCGAGCGTCGTCTGGGTGTTGGCGGGGGTGCCGGAGCGTTGAAGGACGCGGAGTTGGACGTCGAAGGCGTAGCCCAGGACGACGACGAGGATGAGCTGGAGGAAGAGAGGGTAAGCGGCAACAAGGGAGAGGGCGGCGATGAAGCCGAGCGAGAGGAGGTAGGGGAGGGCGGAGGTGGCCAGGACGGCACGGGGGATGGAGGAGAGGGTGAGGGTGGTGGACATGGTGGGTGGGGGTTGTATGGTGGGTGTTGTATGCGGTAAGGGCGTGTTATGCAGGTGCTAATGCAAGTGCGGTAATGCAGCTAAGCCTGGGGCAGAGCAGAGACAAATCTGAGGCAGAGATGTACTGGGGAGCTTGGCTGTCTGGCGGGGTATCTTATAGGATTCTGGGTTAGTTTGGCTGTGTTATTGGGACAAACAAAGCTATCGGCCTACTCGGGGAGTTATTTGGCGGGCACTTTGGCGTCGCAGGTGAAAGTTAACCTTCACCGGTCCCTCGTTAATGATCACTAACACCGGGCGGTATGACGTAGGATGAGATAAGTGGTCTCGTACCTCTGACGCTGTCGTCTTGCGCAGGTGATGTAACCTGTTGCGCATACATGATGTTTTCGGGAAATGTCTCTTTGTGGTCGCTGTGGATAGGCAGTCCGTCGCGGGGCGAAGAGGGGGTACCCGTCGCTGTGGTGGCATCCGAACGCCTTTGTCTCATGCATGTGCGCACAGCGCCCGCCATGGGCCGGGTTAATGCTGAAATATTTTCCGACAGTCACTGTGCAGTTGCCTGTGGGTGATATCTGGCGAGCCGTAGGGTCTATATATAACGAGGTGGTTGTCAGTTGAGTGTGGCAGGCGCGTTGTCGATAAGCGAATCCACGTACCGCCCACATAGCACTCGGGAACGCGGATTGCACGCCAGAAGAACAGATTATGTACCGAGTAAAGTGGTTCGCGCACACGTCTCAACGTTCAACCAGCTGCGGGAAGTTGGAAGAAAACCGGTCAGACCTATGGGCGCTACGTGCCAAATCGAACGCGACCATACTAAGGCCGTGGGAATAGAGTTCAGGTCCTTGGCGCCTCGGTGACTGAACTTCTTGGATTGAAACTCTGCCACATCCATCTGTACTGGGTCTGTCTTCGCGACGGTACTTGTAACACAAGACTGATACGGGGACAGCTGGTGTCGCTGTTTGATTATATCGTGCTGCATGCCTTGTGGCCTCCGGGATGCTACGGGGAAGTCTAGCAAGGTCCTCGATCGGGCTGACTGGGGAATTGGCATCCACCCTCCGACTCTCGAGCAAGAATAGGTGTGCTTACGTACGTATGGGGCACGTCGCAGAATCTGGCACGCTAACAGGGGTGCGTCCATCTAGATACGGATGGGCGTCGAGTCTCGGAACGTCCGTGGCTAGGTCACTGACTCCGAGGGTTCAGCGGTGGGATCATGGTGCAGGGCCATACGAAATGAAGACATCAGGTTGCCTCGTGGCGACGGCTCTGCGCCCACAAAACCGACGCGATCACGGGCTTGACGTGGACTAGCGCGAAGAACCTCCGTTGTGAGTCACGCATATAATGTGCATTATCAATATAAATCGGGCCCTCTTGCGCTGTGTGGTAGATGCGAGAGCGTGAGCAAAGCGTGCACCAATGCACGCAAAGACCCGCGAACGGCTGGCGAACGGGCAGGGGTCGCTGCTTGCTGCAACTGAATTCTGGCACAGTATGGTATTTCTCATCATATGTCCATCAACGCACATGCTGGTCATGATTCCGCATGGCTTCTTTTTCCCAAACGCACACAACGACTCATTTATCACCCGTTGTACATCTTTCGAACACGCAGGCACAGCCAGGCCCGCTTGGCGGACAGAGCTAGAAGCGGAGAAACTCCGCTGTGAGTCACTTGTATCCCAAACCGGCATCCCCTCCGCTCTCAAACGTATCTCGTTGTTAAGTGCTGTTCATTCTCTGGTCATCTTGTATCTGATGCCCTTACAGGAACTCCGTTACAGGCTGGGATGCTTGCACCTACGGAGACAAACACGGCCAAACACCCGGAGGCGTACCGCCTTGAAGAGCCGCGCCACGATGCATCACCGCCCGCAGCAGCAGCAGCGTGGCGATGAAGTGTGCTCGAACCACATCAGAAGTGGGGACCTTCGAGCGGCGGACCACGTTGATGGACTTGCCTTTTTTGGGCGGAGAATATGGGACGGAATGTGGGAGCAGGATCGATAGCCGACCCCCTGAACAAGCGGCTCCCAAGGGCCATCAGGCCAGCCGCCAGACGGAACAATCGATCCTTTTGTTCTCACCCAACCATCCGGTGGCGACCCGCATCCCCTCGCGCGGAGCGGAGTCTGAAGTTCGGAACAAGTCAGCCGCTCGCCACCTCGCCGCACATATAAACCCATCTCCTCGCCACGTCCCTCTTTCCCTCAGACTGCGAAGATGGCGGGTGTGTGTCTCTCTCTCTCCCTCCTCTTACCTCAAGTCCACGCTGACGCCCCCCCCCCACAGCTGCCTGCGGCTCATCTCATAGTCCCCCGGACAGTCGTCCCCGGGCACGGTCTTCACTGTCTGCTGGACGGCGAGCACGCCTTGGTCCTCAGCAGTGTTGTTCCCGACGTCTGCGTCCCGCTGGTCGGGCGTACCCGCGCCAGGCACGTCGAAACCTCCTCGATCCGTCGTCTAATCCGTATCGGTTGGCCATACGCTTTCACGCGTCCCTGAATCCTCGTGCGGGAGGCGGATCGGGGGATGCGCCTTCGGGCAAGTGCAAGAGTGAGTATTCTCGTATCG